CTCAGCCTCCCAGAGTGCTAGGATTACAGGCGTGAGCCACCGCGCCCGGCCCATAGAACTACATTTTAACGGTCAAATGATCTGCTTCTCCAGGATTTGGAGCAGCTGTTTAACCTCTTTAGAAAATTATTTAGTAGTATCTACAAAAGCTCAACAGACGTATATACTATGACCTCCTGGGTATATATCCAACATGATGTGTATATACATGTACCAAAAGACATGTATAGGTTCACAGCAGCACTATTTATAGTCATAATCATCACAGCTGGGAACAACCCAAATGTTCAACAATAGTAGAATGGGTAACTAACTGTGGTATAGTGCTATGATGGAAATCTTTTATTTTTTATTTTTAGAGATGGGGTCTTGCTATGTCACCCAGGCTGAAGTGCAGTGGCTATTCACAGGTAAGATCGTAGCTCACTACAGCCTCAAACTCCTGGGTTTCAGGGATCCTCCCACCTCAGCCTCCCAAGTAGCTGGGACAACAGGTGTACACCACTGTACCCGGCGCTATGATGGAAATCTATAAAGCGGTAAGAATAAACAAGCATGCAACATTAATGAATCTCACAAACATGTAGCAAAAGAAGCTAGACAGGCCGGGCGTGGTGGCTCACGCCTGTAATCCTAGCTCTCTGGGAGGCCGAGGCGGGCGGATTGTTTGAGCTCAGGAGTTCGAAACTAGCCTGAGCAAGAGCGAGACCCCGTCTCTACTAAAAATAGAAAGAAATTAATTGGACAACTAAAAATATACAGAAAAAATTAGCCGGGCATGGTGGCGCATGCCTGTAGTCCCAGCTACTCGGGAGGCTGAGGCAGGAGGATCGCTTGAGCCCAGGAGTTTGAGGTTGCTGTGAGCTAGGCTGACGCCACGGCACTCACTCTAGCCCGGGCAAAAAGTGAGACTCTGTCTAAAAAAAAAAAAAAAAGAAGCTAGACATAAAAGAGTATGAACTCACTTTATGATTATATTTACATGAAGCTCAAACAGGCCATACCACTCTTATTTATTTATTTATTTATTTTAGAGACAGGGTCTTTCTGTGTCACTCAGGCTAGAGTGCAGTGGCATGATCATAGCTTAATGCAGCCTTGAACTCCTGGGCTCAAGCAATCCTTCCACCTCAGCCTCCTGAGTAGCTGGGACTACAGGCGTGCACCATCACATCTGGCTAATTTTTAAATTTTTGGTGGGGGGATGTGCCTCACTATGTTGCTCAGGCTAGTCTCAAACTTATGGCCTCAAGTGATTCTCCCACCTCGGCTTCCCAAAGTGCTGGAATTACAGATGTGAGAAGGCACACCTGGCCCTATTATTTAGAAGTCAAACAGCAGCTACTTTTGTGGGGAGGGGGAATGATAATTGGCAGGTAGACTTCCGAAGAGTTGGTAATGTTCTATTTCTTGATCCAGGTATGAGGGAATTTACGCAAGGAAGTATTACTTTTGTGAAAATTCACTGTAGTATATACACTTATGATTTATACTTTTTTGTATGCTTATTACACATCAATAAAAAGTTTCTAAAAGATGGTAAATATATAAAGCACCTATTTCTACCTCTTTCAACCATTCACTTATTCAAACTCAATTCTTTCCCTCTTCCTATTAATCTCCCCATCCTGCTGCAAGACTTCTTCTAATTATTCCCTCAAATGTATTATTTGAAATACATGCTTTTCTGCCAAATAAAATTGAGCTGGGCATCTGTGCACTCATGTCATTTTCTTGCATTTCTAACTGGGCTAATTCTGTGGCAATTATCTCCACCTCATGACTCAAATCTACTAAGAACTCCAGAGGGTCTTCATGGACAGATGCAGAGTGACAGCCTCTCTCTCTATCTTCTTCTTTATCCACTAATTTGAGGGCTCCTCTGATTCACAAGGATTATCTCCAGCAGCAGAAACTCTTCAGATTGTGTAATTTGATTGGCTAGTCCCAATCTCTTCTCTCCTCATTGCCAGCTCTAATTGCTTTCTAATTAGTATCTATAGAGATATTGAACATTTCTATTCAAGGTATAAGGATAGGCCAGGAGTGGTGGCTCACACCTGTAATCCCAGCACTTTGGAAGGCTAAGGCAAGAGGATTGCTTGAGGCCAGGAGTTTGAGAATAGCCTAGGCACCATAGCGAGACCCCCCCAACGTACAAAAAAATTTTTTAATTAGCTATGTGTGGTGGTGCGTGCCTGTAGTCCCAGATACTTAGGAGGCTGATGAAGGAGGATCACTTGAGTCCAGGAGTCCGATGCTGCAGTAAGCTATGATCACACCACTGCATTCTAGCCCAGGCAACAGGAGATCCTGTCGAGGGAGGGGAGGGAAGATGTAAGGATAGCAATCTTTCCACTAAGACTATCAGTTTGGGGGAGGTGCTAGAAATAGTTGGATATCAGGTTGAAAGGCCAGCCTTATCCCAGATTTCCTCAGGGAAACACATAAGGGTTTTATATATTAGTAGCAGGTAGAATTTTTTGTTAAGAGGAGCTGCTAAGAAACCTTGTGACAACAGGGTAGGAGCAAAATACTATTGCATTTTAGCATAAGAATACCTGAAAAGAAGCCAGTTATCACCAAATCTGTACTGTTCCTAGAAGCCTGCCCAAATGTACCCCAACTTACGGCTGACACAGCTTGACAAGGTCCTGGTCAGTAGTGCCTGGTTGCAATCCTCGGATATATAGGTTGGTTTTGCTCAGCTGGTCATTTCCATTGTTTCCACTGCTGCTATTAGGGGTACTGTTGCTTGAACTAGGTGGTGCCATCTGCTGAGCCAATGACACATATGGCTGCAAGGAGACATGAGGAAAAGGTAAGAAGGATTATACATTTAGACATTGAAGAGTGAGGAAGATCTTGGCCCCCCTGGAAAAAATAATTCCGAACTTTAACAGCAATGAACTCAACATGAGAATTAAATTAAAAAAAAAAATGAGGCCAGGCACAGTGGCTCACACCTGTAATCCCAGCACTTTGGGAGGCCCAGGCAGGAGGATTGCTTGAGGCCAGGAGTTCGAGACTAGCTTAGGCAATGTAGCAAGACCCTGTCTCTACAAAAAAATTTTAAAAATTAGCCAGGCATGGTGGCTAATTCCTGTATTCCCAGGTACTCAGGAGGCTGAGGTGGGAGGATCATTTGAGCCCAGAAGTTAGAGTTTATAATGAACTATGACCTTGCCACTGCACTCCTGCACTCCAGTCTGAGCAAGATCCCGTCTCTAAAAAAAAAAACAACAACAATAAAACCCAGAAATTCCTTTTCCTTTGCCACAGAATGAGAAAATATACAACTGTCCCACCTAACTTTCAGGAATGATGAGAGGCCAAATAAGCCTGTTAAAGGCTCTGAAAATAAGGTACTTCATATTACAGTGGAATGTTTTCATCATACAGATGTTGCAGAACACAATTAACATCTGCCTCTGAAGTAAACTGTGTAATGAGACAAGACTAATAAAATCTAGGTTCTACTTCAAAATGATGACGAAGAAATAATAAAAATTTATCAAATCACAAAGGGTATAAATAAGCTGAACATATTCACAAAACTATAAAATATGAGAATTGCAAAATGTCTGCAGGAGCTTGTAAACTTGGACAATAAAAGGAAATATTAATTATCACATCAAGTAGTAAAAATGAAAATTATTACCACAATAAGGATTTAGCCAAAAGTTATTTTTAAGTTTTTAAAAGTTTAAATGAATGAATACAGGTACTAGATATATTACAGTCAAGGAAATCCAGGATTTAGGACAAAATTTCTCTAATCCTTCACAAGTGATACCAGGCAGACAACCAACTAAGTCCTGTTACATTTTCTAGGTACTTCTGTTAGAGACAAAATACTAGGCTGGCTGAAACACTGATCCATTCCTTCATGGCATATTTTATATCTTCATGCTCTAATCATGCTTTTAGTGTTTACATTTATATTTAATTCACAATACTTAAATTTGTATAATTATAATATAGTGCATTTTACTATATTACACTCATATTCTAGTTCTTTCTTGGCCTAAAGCACTTTATAGTATAAACCTATTTGGGATTACAGTCACGTACTGCATAACAATGTTTCAGTTAACAAGGGACTGCACATATGATGGTGGTCCCATAAGATTATAATGGAGCTAAAAAATTCCTATCACTTAGTGACATCATTAACAGCCGTCTTAACATCACAGCAAAACACACAAATGTTCTTTGTGGTAATGCTGGTGTAAATGAACTTACTTAGCTGCCAGTCATATGAAAATATAGCAATACAATTATGTACAGTGCATAATACTTGATCACCATAAACAATGATATTGCTAGTTTATGTATTTACTATACTATGCTCTTTATCATTGTTTTAGACTGTACTCCTTCTAACTTATTATAAAAAAAGTTAACTGTAAAAGAGCCTCAGGCAGGTCCTTCAGGAGGTATTCCAGAAGAAAGTATTGTTATCATAGGAGATGACAGCTCCATGCATGTTACTGCTGCCCCTGAAGACCTTTCAGTGGGACAAGATATAGAGGTCGAAGACAGTGATACTGATGATCCTGACCCTGTGTAGACCTAGGCTAATGTGTGGGTTTGTGTCTAAATTTTCGAACAAAAATTTTTTAAAGTAAAAAAACTTTAAAAATAGAAAAAAACTTATAGAATAAGAATATAAAGAAAGTAAATATGCCAGGCACAGTGGTGCTCAACTGTAGTCCCAGCTACTCAGGAGGTTGAGGCAGGAGGATCAGTTGAGATAGTAACAGAAGAAGAAAAAGGGAAACATGAATATCAAAGAGGAGAATACTTTCCCCCAAAGAATCTTAATTAATGTGAAATGTGCTTCTTGTATTTCATACATCTGACCCTTAGCAAACTTCAAAATAAAAATCTTTGGTCAGCCTAAAATATGTAAAAGCAGGTAGTTCCCTATCTTCGTCACTATATATAATCACAAATGTGCACCCACTTATATACACACAGTTTGCTCCTTAGCTCTATATTTTAGCAGAGAAGAAAAGAAATTTAATATCACATTCTTGAGATGCCTAAAGACTCATGATCCTTTTGTAGCTCTGTTTTTTTCTTTTTCTTTTTCTTTTTTTTTAAGAGATAGGGTCTTGCTACATCACCCAGGCTAATCTCAAACTCCTGGGCTCAAGTGATCCTCCTCCCACTTCAACTTCCTAAGTACCTGGGACTACAGGTGCATGCCACCATGTCTGGCTATAGCTTTTGTTACACCTTGTATATTTCCTGTCCCTGTCTCTCTCTCTTTGCTAGCACTTTCACTAGGATTTCCCATATACAACATTCCACATACCAGAAGAATATGTATTATTCTTCTGCGATGATGGTGACAGTCACATGATATAGTCAACAAGGGCAGAGCAATGCATGAGGCACGTGCATGTTTTTAAACAACTTTCAGATGACAGTACAAAATAAGGCAAATTAACATCATATTGCCAGTGCTAGAAATAGAAATACTTTAAGAATCACTTTGAAATTTCTGTTGAATTATTAATTCTACAATAATAACCAAATACTGGTAGGTCTATGACCCTTCACTATCACTATTATCATACGAGGGCACCCACCATCTGATTTAAAGTACAGTCAAGAAGATTGTGACTATATTCTAATCATGGTTCCTGAGTTCTGAATAAGGAGATCACTGCCGGAGATCATTCAATAAGATAGGCCCTCCCTCATCTTTAAGGAGTTGCTATTATTGATCCTTAGCTGAGAAAAGCAAGCTGCTTCTTCTGAATATGAGATTCTAGGTCTGGGGGTGATGATGATGATAACAATGATGCCAACAGCAACAATGATAATAAAAGCAACTATAGTAGCACCATACCATGTGCCAAGCACCGGCAGATGAGGAGACCACCTGCCTCAGTTAGAGTTTATCTATCCCCTTTTCCAACGTGAGAGAATATTTCTAAAAGAAAGTATCAATGATGCCAGGACTGTCCAAACAAAAATATAAGGGTTATAAGGGAAAGAAATGAATTGAAAAGAATCTATTGGTTTGCTACCATGGTTATCGTCTTGGTTTTAATACTAAGATCCTAGCTATAATCTAAAAATATGACTTAGTCAATAATAAACTTGCTGCAAGGCCAGAAAAATTCCTAGAAGATATAGCTCAGAAGAAAAAAACTTTTATCTCTCGCTATTTTCAAGCACCTTCTGAAATTGCTGCATAGCTTTCACACCAAAGAAAAATGATAGAAAAATATTCACTTTGAAGGGTAAGAGAAGCCAAGAAAAAAAAAAAAGTTGACAAAGCCCCTAAGTAAAAGCTTGTCCAGCTTCCCAAAACAAACTATCTGGAGACAAAGACCCTGTAAAGTAATAATCTGTTTATCTACATATGTAAGAGAGAAAGGGGTAGTATGTATGAGCACGCAGGGAACCAAGATATTCTTACTGGAGGAGGGAAGAATAAAAAGAAGCTATGGTTTCTCCTGTAACTTATAATGGATTCCCTCTTTATGTCTACTTAGCTGAGGAAGTTCTAATTTTTTAACAAGAGAATATCATAAAATACATTTATATCCAAATTGATGAAGGGATGAAGGCCTTTAGGTAGGCTATGCTGAGTATAGAGCAAGAAGTCTCAAGAATTTACCTCCTTCTGATCAGAAGGGACCAGTCCCAGAGTATTTTTGCTGACTGTAGACTCCATGAAGGCAAAAAACTGTATTCTTGAAACCCTGTATTCATGATGACTAGCACATACCAGGCATTAAATATTTATTGATGAATAAATAACCATTGCCTCCTCAGCTCTGTTCAATCACTGACAATGTGAATTACCAAGGGAGCTGTTCTTCCTTCATTTTTAGCCTTAAATATAGTTCAGAATGGCCAAGATATGTAGCAGTGACATTAAAGTTGACTTTAAGCTTGATCTTCTAATCTGTAGGTATTAGTTCTCAGCAGCTACCTAAAAGCTAAAAGAGAAAAGCAATGTTTAATATGAGAGGGGACTACAGTGATGTGCTTTTGCAATAAATAGCTTAGATCCTATGATCCTCAGAGATTTTTATGGGGTATCTTATAGCATAATTCTCTGTATAATTCTCATAATTCTCTCATCCTTTAAATACCACACCATCAATCTTTAGGGGATTAAAGTCTCTTTAATAATACATCTTAAGGCCGGGCGCAGTGGCTCACGCCTGTAATCCTAGCACTTTGGGAGGCCGAGG